CCTGCAGGGTGCTTAGTTAGCTCTGCCACCATCACGGGTGTCTGTGGGGGTGACTTCCTGAGAGCACTAGCTTTCCAAATACCTCTGTAAGCAGCTGGTGTCCAAATCAAGACAGCCTGGTCTGATTATTGTTCTGCTGCCCACGTTACCCTCAGGCCTACTGTATTCAATTTACAAAAGGATGCCCATAGTCCACTCTGAGTCCAGGAGAGCGCTCTGGCTCGTGTGCCTCTCATTGGGACATTGAGCATGGGGACCCATGCCGTCACTTCTCTTATTTACCTTGGCCTTGTAAACTTTCTTTCCCTCATCATGTTCCTCTGCAAACACTATAGCATTGTGGCTCTTGGGGAGCAGTGGGGAGGGCAGACCATTGTTTGGGGAAGGAGAGTGAGAAGTCCCGTTCACAGAAGGAGAAGGGAAACAACACTCCTATTCTAACTTGTGGTCTAAGTCCACACTCCCGGTCTTCTGGAGCAGGAAGGCTGGCTATGGCCATTCCCATTACACAGACTGGTAAATGAAGGCACAGGGAGATGACGTGCTCTGACCAAGATCACCCAGCAGGGTAGCAGTGGTGTGAGATGTTGGGACAAGCAGGCTGGGCTCTGTCTTTACGATTTCATAGGGGTATGTTACTTCTGGGAAAGGCAACCAGTGGAGGCCAGCACGTGGAAGAAGTCTAAACACGTGGCTCCTGTAGGTCAAGCTCAGTGACTGGAAAGGTTAGTTACCCAGAAGCTCACTCACTGTCATTCAGAGTACATTGCGGTGACTTTTGTCTAGCACGCATCCCCATGCCCCTGTCTGGCTGCATTTCCACCCAAACCTTGAGGCTGGCGGAGGCGATCAGCTCCAGAATCCCCCTCATCACAGGCCTGGTCAAACTGAGTACTCGGCCACAGTACCCTGGCAACAGTGACCAATCCAAGAGGACCCTGGGAGAGAAAGCCGTGTCCTTCTACCGGGCTCACTTGGGAAGATGTGAGTCTGGGCTGTTCAGAGCCTGTCTTCCTCCCCACCCGGGGAGAACCAGTCAACAGAATGAAGCTACACACGGAGGCCGGCTCGCTGAGATAGAGTTTGAGAGAGACACAGAAAGAGTCAGACAGAGAGGTGTTCGTTGATTAGTTGACTCTCTGACATAATTTGAGCCCATTGTATCAGCTGGGGTTGAGAAGAGAAGCAGAACTAGCAGAATCATGTAGATGATAGACAGACAGACAGGTAGATAGACAGAGGTACGGATTTGTTCACTATAGGGGCTGGTTCAGCAAATCTGGGGTCCACAAGGCAGGTACTTGGGGTAGGAAGATCACAACCAGGCTGGAACCCCATGCCAAGGTCAAAGCTATGCATCCACACATTGCCCTGAAAAGGAAGATCCAGAGGGAAGGGAGAGTGCTTGTTGACCCAGCAGCTGTCCAGGGTGTCTCTTCTGGCTGAAGAAGCCAGGCCCACCCAGGACAACCTCCCACTGACTAACACAAAGGGGCTCTCACTGACATCTGCAGAATTCCTTCACCGTAGCACCAGCATGAGCGCAAAACCCAATGCAGGGCTGGATCTCATGACTCTGAGATCAGGCCATGAGCCGAAACCAGGAGTTGGATTCCCAACTGACTGTGCCACTGAGGTGCCCCTGTGTTGGCTTTCTATCACTTGGGATGAAAAACCTCCTCACCCAGCTGCCGTTCATCGAGCACCTTCCACATTCTCTCGTTTAATCCTTATACATCGACAAATGAGATCGGTAATATTTCTGATTTTGGAGCCTGAGACAGAGCGAGGTCAAGATATTGTTCAAAGATGCAGAGCTTCGAGCCAAATCCTTCTACCGCCGATGCCACAGTGCCAGTGTTGGCCAGCAGGAGCCATCCATGTGTACAAATTTCTTGGAGCGGAATGAGTGAAAATGTGTAAAGTGCTTAAAACAGTACCTGAGAGCAGTCTGGAAGCAGATCTCAGCAAAAATGTTATTTTTTCCCGCTAAAAAGAGGTCTAGGGAATGTGCCTGGTTGAGCCAGCTCTCAAGTACCAGACCTGTGCGCCCCTTTGGAAATGAACCCTCAGCCCCAGTGGCTCTAACCGCCACCATCTGCGTCTTCCCTGCTAAGCCTCCAGACATTTCCTGACCTACTGGGTTTGTGAGTGTTACCCAAAATTTGGGTCAAGCCACGAGATTCTGGGGCAGTTTGTTACAGAGTAATAGTGCCTTGGAACCCCCATGCCACGCCACACCCTTCCTGAAATGTTCCAGGGGTTCCCCATGGCCACCGGGATGAAATCCAGATTCCTTTGCCCTTCCTTGCCAGGTTCCTGCCCATCCCCAGAGCCAACTCCTGTCCCTCCCGCACACACCTGAGCCAAGCCCCAGGCATACGGCAACCCCTGGAATGTTCCCTACTTTCCTAGACTTCATGCTTTTGTATGTGCTGCTGCTGCCTGGATGTCTTTCTGACATCTAGACCATTAAGTGAATCATCTAGCAAGTTGGGAGATGTAAATCCATTTTCTTCCTTGAAATCTTTTTTCTCCCCAGGAAGAATAGTGTTTGCATGGCCCTAAAATAGTTCAGGTGATCTGTGAGAGAATATTCATAGAATATGGGTTATTTCCTGGGTTTCTGAATAAAATAACAGCTATCTGTATGGATTCTGGGGCCAGATTGCCTGCATTCCAATCCTGGCTGTGTCATTTACAAGCAGATGACCGTGTGCAAGCTACTCAACCCCTCAGTGCTCCCAGGCTTATCCCTCATCCGCAGAATAGGGAATCCATGATACTCCGTAGAGTTGTGGTAAGAATTCAGTGAGTGGAAATGTGTAAAGTGCTTAGAACAGTGCCTGGCAGAGAGTGCTCCGATCAAGAAGTGTTTATTTTTCATTTTATTTTTAAATTAAAAAAAAAGATATTTATTTATTTGAGATAGAATGAGACAGAGAGCGCGTGCGCACACAGTCACGGGGAGAAGCAGGCAGAGGGAGAAGCAGATTCCCTGCCAAGCAGGGAGCCCGATGTGTGGCTCGATCCTGGGACCCCAGGATCATGACCTGAGCTGAAGGCAGCCGCTCAACCAGCTGAGACCCAGGTGCCCCTCTTTTATTTTATTTTTTTTTAAGAAGATTTTATTTTTTGTCAGAGAAAAGAGAGAGCACAGGCAGAGGGAGAGGCAGGCTCCCCAATGAGCAAGGAGTCGGATGTGGGGCTCAATTTCAGGACCCTGGGATCATGACCTGAGGCAGATGCTTCACTGACTTGAGCCACTCAGGTGTCCAGGAAGCATTTGTTTAAAATAAAATAGGCCTCCTGCAAGCAGCTGGCTCTAGCCGTTGCTACACTCACAGTGGGCAGCAGCTCCATGGACAGGCCCACATTTGCTCAGCACCTTGCCATCTGTCACTGTCTGACTCTATCACCGTGACTCAGTTGGTCTATTAGACCATTGAAGAAAAAGCCTGGGTTTTATTCCTTCCTAACTCTCCCCAGAATCAGAGCGGTATTAGACCTTCATTAAATACATATCAATTCCTGCTTTGATGTTACAATCTGAGCCCAGAAGAGGTTGTGAGCTCTTCTAAGTCATACAGGTAATGAGTGGCGGAGTCGGGACTGAAATTTTCAGTCTTGTTCACTCCAACTGCCAGGTCTGAGCTAGTTACTGTGTGTGCACATGCAACACACGAGCGTGCAAGTGAGTGTGTGTCTGGAGTATCTTCAGTACCCCTTGCTGAGCATCTGCTTTTAAAATTATTTTATCCAGGGACCCATAACAACCTGTGGTCTTTCAGCAGCCTTCCTCCGGCCCCTACAATCACTATTACTCCTGGAGAAGGAGGGACACGGAGAGGGAAATGGATTTGCCTTCTTCTGATCATCCAGACTGTTCGCTTAATATCTGGGTAATTCCAACTCACAGAACGTCTCCCTAAGGTAGGAGATGGTTGCTTTCAAACGATCACTTTTCCAGATGTAGAGGTCAGGGCAGCATTATTCAAAAACCCTAATTCAGGGGCGCCTGGGTGACTCATTTGTATAAGCCTCGGACTCCTGATCTCAGCTAAGGTCTTGACCTCAGGGTCCTAGTTGGAGCCTGCGTTGAGCTCCAATGCTGGGCAGGGAGCCCACTTAAAAAAATTCCCCCCAAACCCTAATTCAGTACAGGGGCTCCAGCCGCGGGTGAACCCTCTCGCTTCTACAAACTGTCACATTGTCAACACCAGACGGCGCTGTGTCCCCGCTGGCTTTTGAACCACCACATCGAGCACACAAAAGGCCAGGTTTTCCTCCAGGACAGTTCAAGGCTTGGTTCCCAACATCCCGCATTTCTAACCGCCTTCCGCGCCCGTGTGTGTGTGTGTGTGTGTGTGTGTGTGTGTGTAGGGGACGGTCCCATCTTAACCAGTCGTGACCCTGTCTGAAAAGCCGCGTCTCCTGCTTTCAGCTCTATTACCGACTGGAACGAAATCCATTTAGATCCGAACGAGTCGAAGGCCTACTAGGCACCAGGCGTTGTGCGCCCCTGGCATCCCTCCGCCCCGCGCTGTGTGGCTTTCGCGACAGGGCCCGCCAAGCACACCAGCCCGGTTCGCGGTGCCCTGGGCAGAGACTCGCGCCCGGCTCACCTGTTCCCGGGGGCGAGCTGCGTCCATCCCTCCCAGGACCTGCACCGCACGAGCTGCCTCCGCGTTCCTCTTCTACTTTCCTGCCTCCGCCGGGATCGGTAAGTGGCATTTTTAGGGGGAGGCGGGGAGAAGGGCGGGGAAGGGGCCTGGCGGGGAGGGGCGTCGGGGTGCTGTCGCCGAGTGTCGCGCCGCCCCCTCCGCCCCGCGCCGGGGTGTGGGCGCGGCGCAGCGCGCGGCAGAGGGCCGGGCGCGTGGGGACGCGGGAGTGCGGGGTTCTCGGCTAGCCGTGCGGCGCCGGAGCACGCTGGCCGCCTAAGCTCGGCGCGGAGCCCGGGGCCCAGAGCCGCCGCCACCCGCCCCTGTGCGCGCCCCGCCATGGAGCCCTCGCACAAAGACGCCGAGACCGCGGCGGCAGCGGCGGCGGTGGCGGCGGCGGACCCCCGCGCCGCGTCCTCGTCCAGCGGGGTGGTGGTGCAGGTCCGCGAGAAGAAGGGCCCCCTGCGCGCCGCCATCCCCTACATGCCCTTCCCGGTGGCCGTCATCTGCCTCTTCCTCAACACCTTCGTGCCGGGACTGGGTAAGACGCGGCGGCGCTCGAGACCCCTGCGCCCCGAGCCCCAGCGCGGAGGGCACGGGGGACGCCCTCGGGTGGCGCCCGCGCGCGCCTCGGCTCGCGCTCCCAGCGCCCCCGGGCGGGTGGCCAAGGCTTGCGGAGTGGACGCCCGGGGGGAGGCCTCGCTCGGGGCTCCTTGACCCGCCCTTCACCTCCTCCCACCTGTGAGCGCGGTGGTGCGGCCCCAAAAGCCGGAACTTTGCCGGGGACCGCGGGGCCAGCGGGCGACTCCCCCGGCCCCCGCGAGGCTCCGCTCCAGACGCCCGGAATCCTGCCCCTCGCGCGCCCTCCCGGGAGCCCCTTTCTTCGAGGGGCTGGGGGCCCAGCCAGGGGAGCGGGGCGGCGTGGAGCTCCCGGGCGTTAGAGAGGTCCGCGAGCTCGGGAAGAGGGGGACCAGCCGGGCTTTGGAGACACGCCGCGAGCCCACCTGTCTTCGCGGGGTGCGGACCGTCGGGAGCGAGTGTCCTCCGCCTCCTTCCGGGGTGTCCGCGATTCCGCCAGCACCTAGGGGAGGGGGACGGTCTCATCAGTTTGAATGCCTGTGGGTTTGGACCGCTCACGGCCAGAGGTGACCCCATAGCTCCCTTCGGTTCTCAAGAAAGTGGGGAGCGCGCCGATATAATTCTGTGTGGGACTCTGGCTGCCCGGAGGGGGCCCTGTTGCTCCCAGTGTCCCAAATTTTAAAAGAGTCCCATTACAGAGGTAGGGGGTGCTCAAGGTTGCAGAGAGGTTTCCCTGACCCTCCCTCTCCTGACCCAACCCCAAATCTCTGTCTGCGCGCCCTCCCCCAACTCCCGGCTGGCTTGCTTGCTTGCTTGGCACCAGCTGTTCTTGCCGGGAGGCCCCCCCGCACCCCAAGTGCGTGCGGGACTAGAGCGGTAGCCACCTCTGTGCCCTCCCCAGGAGAGAGCCTGCCCCCGCGCCAGCCAGTTGCCAGCGCCTGGCTCCAAGTTCCCAAGAACAGAGGTCAGCTGGAAGCCGTTTGCTGATTTACTATGGCCTTTCTCACGGCCTCACGCTTAGCCATTTACTATGGCCATTCTCACGGCCTCGCGCTTAGCCGGCTCCCTGGGGCGGTGCGAGGCCAGGGTAGCGAGGGTCACGCCCATCCACGCGGGACGCGTTCACTTTCCCTTCGGTGCTTGCTTCTGCTTGTGCCCTGGGCGGCTGCGGGGGCCGGGCCTGCAGATCTGTCTGAGCAGGAAGTTAGGTGGGCGGCAGCCGTGCCTCCCCCCTGGCGGCGAGTCCAGCAGCCTGTCCCCTCCGCCCCCTCCCCCGCCCCGGGGCCGTGTCACCAGGCCGGCTGTCCCCACAATTAGACGCCGCGGGGACAGCTAGCTGTTGTTAGTTTTGCGTCAGAAATTCCCACCTGCTGGAGTACAAACGCACCGCCTAGTTTCTCTGGGGACCTGAAGATCACGGTCGGGGATGGGTCTTCATTCTGCTTTTTTAAAAAAGTCAAGTAAACCGCACCTCGTATGGTCTTTTGCAGAATTATGCATTGCGTTCCCGTTTGGGAGGGGTCGGCCCAAGCTGCTGGGTGAGGGGATCCCTCCCCACGGCAGACCGATGCAGGAGGCAACAACTAGCTGCCCGCCTCCACGCTGTACTGGCTTTCCCAGCTCTCCCCTCTCTGGGTTATGCCCCTGCCCCCCGGCATCCAGCTCTTTCTTCCCTCTTCGCACCTCCCTTTGTTAGATCAGAATCCTATGGGATTTTTCTAGGAAACCTTTCTGAGAAGCCAGAAGAAAATAAAGGGAAAATTAGCAAATGCACAAGTAATAAAACAGGTGAGCCAAGGGTGTACAGTTTTCTGAATTTTCAAGGACCGAATCCAGGAATCCCCCCCACCCCTTTTGTTTTGCTTGTCGTTGTCTGGTTGGCAGGCGCACAGCTGGGTCCACCCCCCTCGCTTCTGCACTCCCGGGGAGGGGCTCCTGATCCTGGGTGGTGTTTCTCATCTGTAAGCCAAGTATGCCTGTCACTCTGGGCTGTGGAGAGGACGGTATGAAATTCTAGAAAGCTCAGCGGTTGGGCAAAGAGGCAGTGCTCCCGGGAGGGTGGGTTCCTCTTGCTCCTGGCCCTTCTGCAGGGCTGAGCACTGCCGCCCACCACTGAGTGTGTTGGGCACTCTCCAGGACCTTGGCTTGGAGTCCTTGTGGATCTCTCTGCAGCGGAGCCTGGGGTGACAATGCAGGCCACGCAAAACTTGCAGGTGTGTTTTGTTCTGTTGGCTTTTTTGTTGTTGTTGTTTTGTTTTATTTGTCCTCCATGAGTGGTGTGAGTGGCCTCAGTACCTGGAAATCATCTCCTTGGCCTAGATCCCCTCTGCCAGGCTCTGCCAGGTCCTTGTGGCTTATCTGAAGCTCCCATGAAAACTGAATATTGATGTCAGGCTCTGCCCTTTGATGAAATGCAGCTTTTTTTCAATGCATGTGCTCTCATTCATTCAACCAGCACAAAGCAACCGCTACCTACCAAGCGCCGGGGCGTGAGGATGAGTCAGTCAGTCCAGGTGTCAGAGACTATTGGGAACAGGGATGCAAACTTTGTTTGGATTTGATAAATGCTGTCAAGGCAGCAAGAACAGAGTGTTTGAGCACAGTTACTTCTTCCTAGAAGGACGTGGGGTCCAGAGAAAGCCTCCCAGAGGTGTTGTAGGAGGTGAGACCCTGCCTAGGGAGTCAGCCACAGGGCCCCAAGCCCTTGCTATCCTCATTTTACTCCCACTCTTCGCTGAAAACGGGTCAGACCTTTGGCCCCAAGATCGGTTCTTTTTTCTGGAAACTTGCACTTCTGCAAGTCTTTTCCACATCTGCAAATCAAATGGGACAGAGTGGGTGGGGTGGGGGGCGGCTGGAGGCAGTCATGTGTTTCCTCTGACAAGTGCCTCAGGGTCATCTAGCGTGAGAAGCCCAGTCCTTACAATCCCCAGGGACTTGTCGATGTAAGTGACAGTGCTGTCACTCTGTCGAGGATGTTTCCTCTCCTGGGATTTCTGATTTGTGGTCACTCTGACTCCTCATTGGAACAATACAAAATAAATTTTAAAAACGGATGACAATAGGGGTGCCTGGGTGGCTCAGTTGGTTAAGCATTCAACTCTTGGTTTCCTTGGCTCAGGTCATGATCTCAGGGTCTTGAGATGAGCTTTTCTCTCCCTCTCCCTTTATCCCTCCCCCTGCCCGTGTGCACAGTGTACATATACTCTCTCTCAAACAAATCAGCAAATAAATCTTTAAAAAGCACGGATGGTGGTCAAGAGTGTGGCCCTCCACGTCGTCTCACTCAGTGACCCACTGCTGATACAGACCATGGTCAGTAGCTTCACAGTCCAAAAAACAGGGCATTTATAAGTTTATACACAATTATTCACATATGTGATGAAAGTTAATTGTTATGCCCCAGAATGGATGGAAAGTTTGTCTGTTGGGTTACAGACAAAATTATACTTTCATACTTAAAATTTTTATCTTTATTGATTGACTTGGTGCAATGAAAATGTTGGTGACTCAGATGGCAACAGGGAAGTGATGGGGGGAGAGCTTCCCTTGACTGTTACCCATTCCTTCAGACTAATGTTAGCCATAAATTGACTGTTGGATATTCATAAATATTTAGTCTATCTTTAATATACTGCCTACCCTTTGACACCCAACTAAAGTCTTGCTTCTGTAGCAAAAGCATCATGGGATGGCTCAGTTTCTGTCTTTCCTCTAGCCCTGAGGCTCAAACTGCTGATGATTTTTGCCCTATCTTGTGGCATCTATTGCTGACTTTTTTAAAAAATTGTTTCAAGAGTTTATTTTTTGCCTCTGTAAATGTACGTTCCTTGAAAGCAGCAACCATTTTAAATTTCTCCTTGATATAGTATAGTATATGTGAATGAATATTGACTAGAATTATACTCCTGGAATAGACATTGGAGATCATCTGGTCCAATGCCTTTATTTTATATGTAAGTGCGGTGGTCCCAAGCATGCAAGGACCCAGGAAATTTACATCCTATTCAACCTTTTTAAGGAAGTTATTTAAGTATGTATTTCAGTAAAACCAGAGAGTAAACCAACAGAGAATATACGAGATCCAGGAAACACGGAATCCGATTCAGGGCAGCCATGAAAATCGAGGATAAAATCATTCAGCAGGCCTGAGAGCAGTCAGTCTTCTTTAGAGTGGGAAGATGAAGGCCCCAAGAAAGAGTTTTCTGAGAATGGTGTGAGAAGGGAACATTCCATAGAGCTAAGAGTATTATTGGGACTGCCAGAAATTAAACATTCGATTAAAAAAAAAAAAAAAAAAAAAAAAAAAGGGAGGCAATTAGTAACAACAGTAAAGACAAAAGGCTCTGGAAAAGCATTAAAATCCAAAAATGAAGCAAAATGCCCAATTAGATCAGAAGGTCAACAGACTTCAAAAAAGAAGAATAAAAATATTCCAAACAATAAATGGAATGAGAAAGGATTTGGAAGGTATTGGGGATATGGTGTAGAAAACACATGTTTCTTCCGCCAACAATAAAAAAAAGAGAGGTAATGGGCGATTTCAGGGAGACCAAAAATTTTTCAGGGAAGGCATAGCTCAAATATGAAGCAGATCAAAATGTGGCCTGATATGGAGCAAATGATGGAATATAAAAAAGGCTCTTCGAGGCACATAGAATCTGTGTCATTGGAACTGTGGTGCACAGTATGGGCTCTTAGCACCTCTTTGACTCCGCAGCAAAGAATATTTGCGTAGTCATAATAATATAAATGCTGCTCAGTGGTTTTCAGCTTTTAAAAGCAACCACAGACAAGGCGCTGAAGACTGCTTAATAATAGCTATAAAGAAGATGTAAAGTTTTTCCATCTTGACAACATAAAAGGAAAACTATAGCCCGTAGAAGTTGGCAGGTGGATTGTGATAGATTATTATTCTCTATTATTCACTGTCCTCCCTGAAAAGAGGATGGCACATCCACG